GCATGTACATTGTGTGTCCTCACACCACACACACATTGAAAAAAAAATCAAGACTATCTCGTGATATCTTGTAAGTTCAAGGATAGCCTTGACTACATGAGACCTTGAAAAAAACCATGGGACTGGGGATAAAGTTGCACAATCCTACCTGCTGAGTCATCTCAGCCTCCTGTTGGCCTCATAGGTTGCTTAAGGTGAGGGTAGTCAGACTGTGTCCTTTTTAAATTCCGCCAGTTATGTGTTACTGATTTCTGGGGGTGCCAGACTAAGCTGTTTATTATTTATTAACCTCTTTCAGTATAGCCCAGGCTGGCTCCACAGCCTGGGCATATGGTGTTACAGGCCACGGCATCCCTGTTCAGACTAGCTTTGATGACTTTAGAAACCTTATCATCAGAGCCAGGACTCTCACTGTGTGAGTCCTTGTCTCAATACCAAAACAGGCAACAAATACCCAAGCAACAGCAAAAAACAAACCAACCAACCCGTGGGATTTGATCCTTAGAACCACAATTACCAAGAGAAGCATGAAGAGAGAGCACGCGGTTGGGAGCTGCAGACAGAATCACAGCCTGGACCACTGACTGAGGCCCAGTCTCAAATACAAACACTCAGCAGGTCCAGCTGCAGCCTGTGCACGCGCCTCTGCCTGTGCAGAAGGGAAGTGTGATTTTATCTTTCCCTTCCTTCCTTCTTTCCTTCCTAGCATATACTCCTGGGATGTGAGCTGGGGGTTAATTGAGTCTGCAGCTTCGGCAGGAACAGCTCGGGTTCTGGGATCTAACCTGGGCTAGACCTTTTGGTACGGTCTGAGGTCCCCCCCCCTTTTTCGCGAACATGGTTGCTCCCACATCGCACGGAAGTGCTTGTGGTCTGGTCCCGAGGTTGAACTGGTGGCGGGACATGGAGCTGCAGGGTCCTGTCGGCAGCCCTAGCAGAGCACCGGCTTCCGCCGAACCGGCTCAGACCTTGGTGACCCTGGCGCAGCTCCTGCAGCTGGTCCAGGAGGGCCAGGAGCTGCCGGGTCTGGAGAAACGCCACATCACTGCCACCCACGGCGAACCGACGGCGTCGCTGCTTCCGCGGAGGCCCAAGCCCTGGGAGGAAGCTAGCTCGGCCGCATCGCCCCGCACCACCAACCTAGATTCGTGCACGCAGTCCCCGACCGTGGGGGTACCGGCCCCGGGCAGCCCAGCGGCCCAGCGTGCCGGAGACCCAGCGGATTCCTGAGCTCCAGGGCTTTCGGAGCCGAGATCCGGAGGGCACGACTGGCTCCTGCACGAACTTGAGGATCTGGACAGCTGCCTCCTTTACTCATCTTTCTGTTCCTGCTCTGACCTGTCTCAGCCGGACCCAGTCTTCCCGGGAGACTGAATGCTGCCTAGGAATTTTGGTTTGGACGCTGAATCTCAACTGCATACCATGTTCTGTGTAATTGAAACAAGTCTGTTTTACCACCTGCTCACTGTAACGGGCCACCTTCAGATGGTACTGATAAAGTAAACCAGTGAGCCAAGTCATTTCTAATGTTGGGCTTTATGATAGAACTCGGTTTTCTTTTCTTTTTTTTTTAATATTTATTTATTATGTACACAATATTCTGTCTGTATGCCTGCAGACCAGAAGAGGGCACTAGGCCTCATTACAGATGGTTGTAAGCCACTATGTGGTTGCTGGGAATTGAACTCAGGACCTTTGGAAGAGCAGGCAATGCTCTTAACTGCTGAGCCATCTCTCCAGCCTCCAGAACTCGGTTTTCGAAATGACGTAAGTGAAATTCATATTTTTTGAGACACGGTTTCTGTGTAGCCCTCGCTATCCTAGACCAGCCTGGCCTCCTGAGTGCTGAGATTAAAGGGGTGTGCCGTCACCCCCACCCGGGCCCCCCTACTCAAAACTGAGCGACAACAAATCCTAGAAATCCTGGGTCATAATCAAGCTCTGGCTTGGCAGCAGGAACCTTACCTACTGAGCCATCGCCAAAGTTACAATTAGAGTTGTCAACTGCCTTGTGGGTGCAGGAAGGACAGCGTCAACGCTCTCTACCAGAGCAGAGTGGTAGGTCAGATGCTGGAGCTGGCTGAGGTCTTAGCCACTGACTGACTCATGCTCAGGCTCCCTGAAATCGTGTTTGAGAAGGGTCTCTCCACACAGCAATGATTGGCCTCAAACTCACTCTTGTAGACCAGGCTCTGCCTCCTGAGTGCTGGGATTAGGGGTATGCATCAGCACACCGGGCTTCCAAGCAGTCTTTTTGTTTTTATGAAACAGGGTTGTCTCTGTAGTGTTGGAGCCTGTCCTGGAACTCACTCTGTAGACCAGGCTGGCCTTGAACTTGGAAATCCACCTGTCTCTACTTCCCAGTTGCCACCACTGCCCAGCCCAAGCAGTTTGATTTCAAACAGGCCCGGTGGCTCACTACATTCTCCACTGGCAGCACGGTAGAGCCACGAAGTGTATCCATGGTTTACTTATGACTAAATAAATGACTAAAACAGCAGGGGCAATGAGTCACAGGGACCATCACTTGTTGACAGTCTCACCATGGTTGGCCTGAAATCTAGGCAGCCTTAAAGATCCATCCACTTGACAAGCACCACCACTCTTCGCGTTTTAGACAGGGTTTCTCTGTGTAACCCTAGCTGTTCTGAAACTTGCTCTTGTAGACCCACCTGCCTCTGCTGGGATTAAAGGTGTGAGCCACCACCGCCCAGCTCCACCCATGGCTCTAAAATAGGTTAGGCTACTCTGGGATGGGAGCACTTACTTTCGTAGAGGACATGGAGTGATCCCCAGCACCAGGGGACCAGACACTTACTGGTTGCTTTGGGTGGCACTCAAGGTATATATTCACACACAATAAACCTTAAAAGTCTTTTAATTATTTTAAAAATTTGCTTTAAATTCTGAGCAAGGCAGACATTTGGGAAGATACTAGCTCCACCTTGTAGGCCAGAAAAAAAAACCATGCTCCCTTTGCGTAGATCTCGGCCTCACAAAGTAAGCGAGCACTTCATGTGTTCCCTCAAATAGTATGGCACGCATGAGCATCTCCATGACTGCAATGCATTTTTGGTTACATCTCCCAGTGCTCTACAGTAGCAGAATTACATTGACCTCTGGCAGATTCTGGGACCCACTGACCTTGTAACCAGCATGCATTGAGGCGCGGTTAAAATGTTTTCCTCTTTCTAACTCAGTTTCACAGTGAGGTTCCAGGAAAGCCCAAGGGAAGCAACTGTTAAGAATGTGAAGCCCTGTGTGGGTTGTAAGGAAAGGCTGATGAGGAGGTTGGTTTATGTGTCCTTGAGCTGAGGGAGCACTACTGCCTCTGCTCCCAAGCACTGGGATTAAAGGGCTACCCACCAGGCCCAGTTCAGCAAGGCTAAACCTCAATCTTCTCTAAACAGAATGCTCACTCATATGCATCCTCATAGAAGAGGCCCGGTGCCAAGAGGGTGTCACCACCACCGAGTTCCAGCACAGTGGGAGTGTGTGTATGTGTCTTCGTAGCATAGAGAACCCGTCTTAAACTGGTCAGGGCACAAATGCCGTCACTGTCTCAGGGACAGGCAAGCCTGACCAAAGCTGACACTGAAGTTGCAAAATGGCCTCCCAGCACAGACTAAGCAAAGCTTTCGCTACCTTCCTAACTGCATTTCCGTCTAAGGTGTAAGTTCCCAGGCTGGGGGCGCATTAGGAGGATGAGGCAGGATTGCTATGGAGTTTAAGGTAAGCCGGGTTTACACAGTGAGACCCTGTCCTAAACAAAGCCACTGGCGCTGACAAAAACACAATACAAGTAAGAAACAAGACTTTTTTTTTTTTTTTTT